AGGGCTGGCGGTGGGAGGGATTGAGCTGCCGGGCTTGGGGCTCAGCCCCCGCCCCCAGAATTTCACCATGAGGCCCCACCTCCCCGGGATAGAGACCCTGGTGTTGGAGGTGGGTGCGCGGGGAGAAGGAGGTGCCGCGTGTCCAGAGCCCTGGCGGGAGTCCAGCCCCGGCGGTGGGGACGGGCAGCTCCTGATGCCGGCTGGGCCCGTGCCACACTCCGGGACCTGCTCAAGAGTCTTTTTCTTTCTATTCCAGAACAGAACACAGCTGGAGGCGCCTTTCACCCTCACAGTAGAAGAAAAGCTACAGGTAAGAGCCGCGGGCGGCCCTGCCTCGTCCCTGCCCACTGGCCTCTCGCTGTCCTCAGGGCCCCAGGGAGGGGCCCGGATGTGCCGCGGTCGGGGCTCCACACGGTGGGGCCCCTGTGTGGGGTCCGATGTGGCCTGGGCCTGCCTGGCCGGCAGCCCAGATGACCCTCCGTGGCGGGAGACTGCCCGGGTCATCGGCGGTGGGTCACCTGTGGCTGGGCCACGCGGGTGCCGGTGTGGGTGAGCCAGGCCCTGCAGCTTCTCGGTGTAGGGGAGCCTGGGGCAGCCCCCGTGGAGTGGGATTTCATCGTCTGTAGTCTTGCACCTCCCTTAAAAGTATAACAGTAGCTCGCAAGCATTTAAATTAAAAACATAACACAAAGATCAGTTGCCTTTCTATGGACTAATAATGTGCAATCCCAAAAGGAAATTAAGAAAACAGCGTCCTTTACCGTAGCATCCAGAATAAGGTGCTTAGGGATAGATCTACCCGAGAGGCAGAGCACTGAAAGCTGCAAAGTGTTGCTGAGAGGAATAAGAGAAGACACCACTAAGTGGAAAGCCAGGCCCGTCGCACAGATGGAAAAATTCTGTAGTATCTACAGGCTCACTCAGATCTGTCAAAAATCCCACGGACGCCACTTTGGAAGTAACGCAAGCCGTCCCCAGCATGCAGACGGGGACCAGAGGGCCACTCCCACGGGCTAGAGGGCCAGAGCTCTGGGACCAGAACTGAGCGGCGGCCCCCAGCCTGGTTTCGAAGCTCGGCCGCAGCAGGGGGTCAGGGCGCCGAGACAGACCTACAGACCCGGAGCCCAGGAACGCACCTCACTGAAGGCCAGGGGGTCTCGGCCAGGGTGAGGCGCCCCTTCTTTGGAGAAGGACGGTCCGATCTGGCAGTGACCTCCTGATGCCCAGCGCCAGCAGTGGAAGCTACAGATCACAGCAGCACGTCTGAGTCAACCCCCCGGTTCACAGCGCCCCCGGGGCCCCGGCGTGGCCTTGGGTCCGTGACACACTTGACGGGCAGGTCAGCGCCTCCGTGCCCGCGATGCGCCAGGCTTCTCTGCTGGCCCGCCGCGTGCGGCCGGCCGGCTCCGGCTCCTCGAGTGATGTCGGCGGAGGCCCGGCCACGAGGCAGCCTCGGCCCGAGCCTGGCGGCGGCCTCACAGAAACGGCCCCCACAGTGGCCGCCGCCTCCAGCGCCGGGGGGTGCCCTGCCGTGGGCGCTGCCAGCAGCGGGCAGGCACGCAGCCCTCATTCTCACCCGCAGGTGCTGCCCGACCACGGCCTTCACGCCGCGGCCTTCTTCTCGGCCTTCCTGGGCTCCCTGGCGCTGGCCTGCCTGGCTCTCTTCGTGCTGCGCTGTCGGTGCTGGGCGGGGGCCGTGCTCAGCCGACGCCAGGTGGGTCTCGGGGCACCTCCCCCCGGGCGGGTCGGCCATGGCAGACGCGGGGCTGCGTTCACCCCCCTGTTCAGTGGGCCTCGGTCTGGACCGATGTCAGCACCCCCGAGGCGCTCTGGAGGAACCGCCCCGGCCTGGCCTCTGGCCCTGTCCTGGCCACACCCCTCCACTGGTCATTTTTAAAAGCGCCCTGGGTTTTCCTAATAAATGGCCAGGGCTGAGGATACTGCCGTCTGTGGTGAGCCTGGCCTCCAGGCCACGTCCCGATTCAGCTCCCGCAGAAAATTTAGTCTCACTTCATCCAGGGTGAGGTTCGCCTGACGGCTGTGGTTTTTTCCTGTGCATGATGATGATGATGAGACGATGATAACAGTGGAGGTGGTGGTGGTGATGGGGGTGGGGTGGCGGTGACGGTGGTGGCCTCATTTTTCAGATGAGAAAATGGAGGCTCAGGGAATCCCAGGGTCTTGCCTGGGTTGTACACATGGTGGGGCCAGTCACGTTCTCTGACTGTGACTTTGCCAGCAAGTGACATTCAGAAGAAGGTCGACTCACATTTGTTTCGAAATTCTCTCAAAGGTTCAGCATCATGAGAACAAGCTGGAGCACTCCCAGTTCACCTCAGCCGACGGTGTGAACGAGGACCTCGCTCTCGACGACCAGATGATCAACATCCTGTGTTCGGAGGACCCGGAGAGCATGCTTCAGGCCTTGGAAGAGTAAGAGCTCTCAGTCACGTTTGTTTCCATGGGTGTCACGAACGGCATGGGAGCAGACGTGGGTGAATTCATGTATTTGTTCATCCATTCATCCATTCTGCACTCAGCAGTCGTCACTGAGCGCCTATGCCCAGAACTTGGCGTTTGGGAAAGGGATGAATAGCGTGGTTTGTGCTGCACCAGTGGCAGCCTGCTCTGTGGAGACAGATGCATGCACAGGACTGGCCGTGAGGGTTTGCTGAGCGCTCTGCTGAGGGGAAGATGAGGCCAGCTGAGCTGGAAGGGGAGGTTACTACCTCTGAGATGGTCATGAAATACTCCCCAGAGGGGGTGATAGTTTAATTAATTCTTGAAGCATTGGGAGACGCTCTCCAAGCGCATTAGGGGCGGGCAGTCTTTGCAGGCAGAGAGAAGAAAGAGAAGAGGGAAGGAGAGGGCCGAAAGTGAGCAGGATATGCTGTGACGGCCGCAGGCGTCATGGCCGACGTGGGGTGGCGTGGCGTCTCACCGAGGGGCAGCGGGGGAGCGGCCAGGCGGTGTGGCTGTTTGCAAACGGTTCTTTATTTTGCACAAACCAGCGACGTGCTGTTTAGATACACGAGAGCAAAGGGCTGGGCGCCGTGGGCAGGTCTTTGTGGGTGCTGGCCCACGGAACCTCCTACCCCTGCCTGGGGGGGGGCCCTCTCACCCCTGCACTGTCCTCACAGACGAGGGCTTGAAGTTAAGGAGTTAAGGCCTGCACCCAGGGGCACACCCCGGGAAACCAGAGGCCGATTTCAACCCCAGCCGGGCCGGCCCCAGGGTCCAAGCTCTCGGTCAGTGTGCTGCGTGGTCCACGGGTCTCCTTGCGGGCACTCGGTCACGCCGCCAGCTGACCTCACGCAGCAAGGCTCATCACTCGGCCTTTCTTACCCCCTTTGCACAGACACTCACCACTCATCTCTTTACGTGTTGCCTCGTGCGGGTCTCACGTTACCTGCTGAAGCTCCCGGTCTTGTCTTTTACGTCCTTAAACACATCGCACATAGTTATTTTTTTTTTTAAAGATTTATTTATTCGTGCGTACAGAACTGGGGTACAGGCCAGAGGCTCAGGGGCGGTGAGAGACTTCACCAGAGACAGAGTGGGAAACAGAACAGGCAGATGGACAAAGTACACTGCCGAGGGGAGCAGCAGGCGGGTCAGGAGAGGTCTGCCGCGCCCTGTGGTCACCTCCGGGGCAGGCGGGGATCGAACTCATGCGGAAGTGGGTTTAGCTTCTCAGTGCTGTGCTCTGACCCGCTGCGCCACCAGGGAAGGCCGCACATAGTTATTTTAAAGTCTCCTTAGATGTCATTGCTGCACAGAAAACTTCATCACCGTGACTGTTCTCTGTGGCCCGTCTATTGCTGTTTCTGGCCCTCTGTTGTCTTCTCCTCGTACGTCCGGGCAGTTTTGACGAGGCGCCGGGCATTGTGCATACGGAAAGGACAGCGGAGGACTGGCTGATGGCGCTTCTCGGGCGGTTGAGGTGTAACTGGGGATTTCCTCCGCCCAGTCGGAGACGGAGACCCCTTGAAGATGGTCTCACTTCCCTCAAGGCCCGGTTACTGGGGTACGCTTTGACCCCTGAGCTGCAGCACCACCCCAAAGGCCGAGCGGTTTCCCGAGGGCGCCTCTCCTTGGCAGTCCCAGTTCCAAGTCTGTCGGAAATGCAGCTCAACTTCTCAGCCATCAGCTGCCTCTCCTCCACCCCCAGATGTCCTCAGGAACAGAGTGACCCCAAATGTTGGGCTGCTCCCCAGAGTTTCTCTGTTCTAGATCTTGACCTATTTTCCACTGCTTTTTAACTCTCAGACCCTTTAAAACTGACTTTGGTTTTCGCTAGTTTTTCTCCTTGTTTTCGATGGGAGAGATTGTCCAGATTGCCCGGACGGCCTTCTGCAGGGACAGAAGCCATCTCAGGTAGCCACGTTCTGGCTGAGAACCCCGCCAGAGGCAGCCCGTGACGGACGGGCTCAGCAGAACCCAGAGCGCAGGCCCGAGCGCCTCGGTGGATGGAGACGCACCCTGGCGTGGCACTGGGTGCATCTCGGTGACGCCCCTGTGGTCTTGGTTAAGTTGCTGAGTGAAGGTTCAGGATGGCAAGGGAAGCTGGGTCTGGGCAGTTCTGGGTGTCAGGTTCCTTCCACGGCAGGCCCCGGACACCCAGGAAATGAGTTTTTAATACGGACACGTCCGTGCCTGACAAGCCCACTCTGCATTAAGTGGGCAGTGGCCGGGGGTGGAGCGAGAGGGGGCCTTTTGGGCGCTGCGGGCGCGTGGCCGGGGTAGGGTCCGGCAGCGGGAAGAGGCTGCACACCCTGGTGGCTGTCGGGACTGCGTGGAGGGCTGCAGAGTGGACACTGGAAGGGGGAGACCTGGAGAGACTGCCCCGGTTCTGGGTCTCGCTGGTTGGTTTACCAGGTGGGAGGGCAGTGGGCAGTGTCCACAGAGCCGGCGTGGACGGTCCACCTTCCGGAGAGCTGTTTTGATACTGGGGGTGGGGCCCCTCGAGCCGGCCCGTTTACAGCAGCGGCTCCCTGAGTCTGGGCTGAGCGCCCTACCCGCTCGCTTCCTGCCGGGCGTCGTGGGGATGAGGTGTGCGGTCTCTTCCCGCCTCGCCCGGTCCGGCCCTGCGCTCTGCCCCCTGCGGTCCCTGAGCTGAGCCAGCGAGAGGTCTGTCCACAGTCGCACATCTTAGGGTGACCCAGCAGGGCCCGAGTGTCCTTGGCACGGAATCTTGTGTGCTTTCTGCCATGCAGAGGTCCTCTGAGCCTCAGTTCCTCCTCTCTCAACTGGGGAGCCGTGAGCCTGGCCTTAGGGGGCAGGACGGTAGGTGGGCGACAAGGGGCGGCGGGGAGCCCTCGCGCCACGCTGTCTCCGCCGGGCCTGTTAGGGGCTGGGTCAGCAGATGCTCAAGGGGGCGCGGGCGTCCTCCTTCGCTCTCTCGAGGACATCACCAGCAGCAGCTGAAGCGGGCGGCCGAGTGGACCCACGTTCTGACCCTGGAGCCCTGAACGGTACCGGCACCACAGAGAGGGGCTGGGGCGGGGCCAGAGAAGCGCCCCCTCTTCTTGGGGGGCCCCCCGCTGGCCTGGAGGAAGAGGTCCTTGTGCCAGCCCCAGAGCCCCCGCCCGGGGGCGCTCTGAGCCAGAGACTCTTCCGCCTACGTCTCATCCCCGTCCTCCCAGCCTGGCCCTTTGGGGAGTGCCCGCCCGGCTCGGCCCTGGCGGCCCGGGGTGGGCTCCCTGGCACAGCCGGCCCGTCCTGCATCCTGGCGGCTGTTCGGATGTTCCCTGTCGCATCACCCCCCGCAGAAGGCCGAGAGCCCCTCAGGGAAGCTCGCCGCTGGCCCCAGAGGGCGGAGGCGAGGCCGGAGCAGGCCGCGGGCGGTGCTCGCCGAGTGTCACTGAGGGGTGCGCAGGGTGTGAGCTCCCGCTTCCTCGCTCGCGCTCGTTTTCTTCCACACCATCAAGTGAAAAGTAGAGGGGCGCATGCGGTGCATGGGATGAGCCCCCAGAAACTTCGCTGCAAGGCCAGAGCTTGCCCTGCGGCGGCCGGAGCGATCGGCCTTGCGAAGCAAGCAAGCGCGCGTCCTCTCCCCGCCGGCCGGCCCCGCCGTCCGCGGCTGACCGAGGCAGCAAGATGGAGTGAGTTGGCTGAAGCAGCTGAGTGAGGAGTCCAGCCCGGGACGGCCTCCGGCGCGCTCCGGGAAAGCTGCCCGATTTTTGAGCTTCTCGGTGGCCATGGCACATTCCTGCGTGAGGCGGGGACACACAGTGTCTCCGGGGCTTCTGAGAGGCGCCCGGGCTCGTCCCCGTGCGAGGTGACCGTGCATGGTCCCCGGTGTGTTTCAAGTGTCTCTTCTGGGACCCGGGAGCTGCAGGGAGTCGCAGGTCTCCAAGCCACAGGCCCAGATGCTGTTCCCAGGAAGCATTCTTCCGGGCTCAGCCTCTTCCCCAAAGCAGATGAGTCACATCCGACGCGGCCGCGCCCTGTGCTGGGATGGGGTGGGGGGGGTCCCCGCGTCACGGTTACTCGGTTAACGGCTTCAAGATGAGCCCCGCCCGACGCTGCGGTGACTCACAGCTGGGGCCGTGCTGGGCCCCCTGGGCTGCAGAAGGCGGAGGTCGCCCAGGATGTATGCTTGGCGCTGCCCATCAGTGAGGGTGCTGGGATTTTCTGCTTATTTCTCCTGGGGAGCAGCCGGGATTTGCCTCAAGAGAGTTTAACGCTGATGATGGGGCACGGCGCGGGCAGTGCAGCCGGAGAGCTAAATTTATTCCTGCCCCAGCCCTCGGCCTCCGTCCACCCTCCCCTCCCATGTTCAATATTTATTGACTGTCTGACCCGCTTGAGGGCCCCTGGGTTGGACGGGCGATTTATTTTGAGTCGGAGCGCTGTCCGGTATGTTTAATCTTCCCAAACGACCGCTCGGGCCCAGACCTGAGTGCGCAGAGAAGACGTCACCCAGAATGTCAAGGCGTGGCTGCTCGGCTCCGTGGGCGTCTTCCCGCTAAACATAGCTTTTCGCCCCGCTCGTCGCTGATCCGCCTGTAACTCTGAGACTTAGCTGGGACCCTAACATGCCCTCTGCCGCCCCCACTTCTCACGCGGTCTCAGCTTTATCTCGGACACAGCTTTCTGCGCCGGCTCGCTGACTCACCTCTTCCGCCACTCACTGCCAGGCTCGGAGGGACCCACGTCTCCGCTGTGTCGGAACGGGGCCGCGTCCTGCTGGGAGGGGAGCAGGGAGGAACGGCCAGCACTGGGCAGCCGCGGAAGCTTCTGGAAGCATGGCGCACCGCCGCCTTCGGCTGGGCCTGACCGCACGCTTCGCCCCCTGCCGCCTTGCCGACGCTCAGCGACCTGCTTTTCTTTCGCCCAGGAAGCAGATGCCCGGGAGGGCGTCGTGGTTTGGGCTAAAGTCGCACCAGCGCTTGTAGATCTGGGCCCAGCCCTGGCGCTGCCGAATCACG